CAAGATCCAACCCTTTACCATTATATAAGTAACAGTACTACATGTAAAGGTCAATCTTACAATAGTTGGAGTCTACATTTTGTATTGTGGTTGTGCATATTTACCTGTGAATTTTCCATTTCTGGGCTACACGTTTTATTTTTACATCATATTTGTCTCAAATACACTGCTATTAATATACATGTATTTTACTGAAATTAAGTAACAAAGGGTTGCCTTTATAAACAATGTCACACAAGTTTGTAATATATTGACTGTTAATTAAAGAAATATACACATTCTCAGGTCGAATGTCTGATTTCACAATCTTCTTACATGGGTCTGATAAGCGATATTTCAAACTGAATCTGAGGAAAAAGATTATTTGTCATATTTAGTGTGTACTACCTTTAGACATAAGTACCATAAAATGTGAACTTTCTGAGAATGATATTAACAATGTATTGACAAATGTGTAATGTATATAGTAAAGCATTGCCATATACTGATTTGATGTTTGTTATAGCAAAATTTTAAAATATAAATGTTTCTGAAGAGAAAAAAATCCTCATAGCTTATTTTTTTTACCATTTTAATCATACATAGGAAGGGGTGGATAAAAGATTGCATATTCCACAAGCAATTTTGAGTGTATCGCATAAATATTGACAAATTGTAACAGGAACTTCATATTTCAGTAAGTGAGAATATTCTATATGTCTAATGGCTTGTTCTACATATATTCTTCCATTTGCTATTTCTTTTGTTTTCTGAACATCATATGCAATCATTATCTTGCAATGACACTATATCGTGAGGTTCTATCAAACCAAGGAAGCCAGAGTTCATTGCTTTACATTTTTCACTATAGCTGCTATACATTTTCACTATAGCTCTGCTAGCTGAAATAATGTAGCCCTCTCCCTTTTTTTGTGGGAGGGGGGGGGGGGCAATTAAAAAAATCCGAGAGGGCTACATTATTGCAGCTATAGCTCCACCTCCCCAACAGTTCAACACAAAATTGATCATCCCTACTGGAGTGATGCAAGGAATTTTACAGTCTACGAGGGCTGTTCAATAAATAATGTCCTTGGTGGTCAGAAAGAAGCGAATTACGCTTTTCAATAATTTACTAGTAGTATTCATTATTATACTTACATGTATAAATCTCTTTTTATTACAACACATGTCCGTAACCTTTTTCATCCAATTTCTGATTGATTTTAGAACTCATTTTTGGGAATGACCCTTGGTATACTAGAAAATGGCAGTACCAATGATTTCATGGGCTTATTTCTTCCTTATGAAAGGTGTTTTTTCAAGTTTGGAAATAGAAATAAGTCAAAAGTTCAAACATCTGGCGAATATTGTTAATGTGAAAAAATATTAATTATCTGTGTATCCCTAAAACCCCTTTACTCTTCAGGGCGTGCGGGTTTGGACGCTGTCATGAAGAAATTTAATGTAGTGGATTCCTGATTCTGGGTCCTTCCTCTAATAAACCTTTCAATTTTTTTTGTAAAAAATTTGTTTTCTACCCTCATCCAGAAATTAAACTGTCTCCCCGAATACGAATTTAATAAACAATACCACTAATATTTAAGAACATTGCATATAAATTTGTCTTTGTGCTCTTGCAATTCTTTGCTCTTTTCAGACCATCGCTGTTTTTGTCAAGTACATCTAATGGAAAATTTTGTTTTGAGGATTTTAAGCAATAGATTCAAGTTCCATTATCTATTTGAATATCCAAAAAAAAAAAAAACGTGGATAACTCCAATTACTGATATTTCGAATTAATTGTTAAGACATTTGTACACGCTGCCGTTTTCACTCATTTTTCAAAATATAGGGTGACCTTTGAGTACTATGTTTTTTTTATACCGTTAAACGTTTCTTAAAAACAGTGTAAACTACCCCCGATGTGATGTCTATCAAATTTGCTATATGTCTTAAAGTCAATCCTACACCTTCAAGTATTATTTGTTGAAATTTGGCAAACAGTACATAAGTGTTGTAATTTTTTGTTGGCAAGGATGGTACCCATTTTTGATGCCCATTATATAATTTTTTATCATTGAAATTCACCTGCTCATTTGTCTAAAAAACAGGCATTGGTTGCTGTAAATTTCACACATTTCAGTGAATATTTCTTAGGGATTTTTAACCAGTTTTACAGCAGCTTTTTTGAAGCTTTTATTTTCACTCTAGTTTACCGATTCTTTACCATTCACTTATAATGCAGTGTCTTGAAAAGCCCTTCTTTCCCAGCTTCTCATAATGAAACTGTGTGATGAAAAATGGTCACATGAACTGTTATAAATTAATTAAAGATTCAATTATGAGAGAAAGCCAATTTTAATGTCATATGATATCTGTATTCTATGTCATACAGTTCAGGACATTATTTATTGAACAGCCCTCGTAGTTATGTAAAAAATTGTAAATGAATTATGCTTGTGGCATATTAATCAAAGTCCTAGATGCAGAACTGTAGAATTATGGTTTTATATATTAGTCTTGACCATCACACTACTGATCACGTAATGCAAAAAAATGTGCAATTTACAGCGCAAGATTTTTTGCGCAGTATAATTTGGGAGAATTTCACCACTTTTCTAAATCATTTACCTTTCACCCCCTAATTCCAGACACATTCTTAAACCAATTTGTTTATTTTATCCACCTCTTAACCATTTATATTCCCATCTAAATTACCAAGGGTTAGAAGGTGTATAAAATTTACCAAGGTTGAACATTTTCCCAAATGATGCGCAAAAAATCATTTTTTGCATTACAGGATCTAACAAGTGTGAGAGAGAAAAAAGCAAAGTGAAAGTAGAGAGCAGAAAATTTCATTACGTTCCACTCACATATTTCACAAGCTCAAATTTAAGAAATTGAATGAAACTTTATAATCTTGAACTGTTGATAGTAACTTAGAACATGTTTTCTTACTACTTTATTTTTTTTTTTCAATTTCCGTTGTTAATTAATGTGTTACAAGCGGGTACAATAAACTGTCTTCGTTCGATGATTTATCATGTTTACAGGTGTAACCAGGGTTATGTATTATTTAATGCTACTTTATACTTGCGCTGCGTATATGTGAGAATGTTGTATGAAAGACTGTGTGAATGAGGTTGTTGTTACTTTTTAGACACTAGACGGACAGTCACATGACTTAATCCCATTCACTGAATTCCCGCTTTCACGAACTAACATCGGGCACTCTGAGCCTAGCCGTTGAACTGGTTAGATGTCTACTCTACTACACAATCATTATACAGATAGTAATATTTGTGAATTCCTGTGTGTGTCCCGGTAAGAACTCTATTCTTAAGTAAAGTCCATTATGTTTTAATTATCTGTCTAAATGTCTGTCTATGTGTCGTCTATATGTTGTGTGTATTTGTAATATTTCAGGTTTTTGACATCTTATTTCATCGTTAATAAATATAATTGAACCTGAACCAGATTGTTATTTCTGATGTACTACCACTGGCTACAAATAGCGCCCACACAATTCTAATAAACCGGGACATCACACCACAGCCTTTCCATTTCCTTGGTATCTCAATCCCCGGGGGACGGACTTGACGAGGACCGTGGCTGACGAGCCGGAGCGGTGACTTGTACTTTCACGCCAGCATCTACCATAGAAACCCAAACGAAGAGGTGATTCTGTGTGTTTGTGTGCCTATGCGTTTATATTCCGTTATTTCCAAGGAACGAAAGAGTGAAAAAGTGTGTCAACTATTCGTATCAGCGTTTCACGAATGGCGGGAATACGCACGGATCCCAAGGCGCGGCGAACCACGTGACCCGCATGAACCCACGTTGATCCGCGAGGAAACTCGGAACTAAGCAACGAGGCCTCAGGTACTGTGTAATTCAGTGATTATTCATCTGTTCTTTTATGATGTGATTATCCTGTGTTGTATTCGTGTCTGTATTTGTGCTGTAAAAGATTGAATTTGTTCTGTCATTTCGTCATCTTCTTGCATAGGGAATTCCCGAGTTTATTTTTAGATCTAAATTTAGAACAAGCTTCCGGAAATTGTGTAAACAGCTGATCGATCAATTTTGTTTTTCGATTTGTTTATTTTCAATTCTGTTTAACATTTGAACTTTATTTTTTTTTCTTTGGTGTTTATAAAAGTATTTTTTTTTAAATTCAGGCCTGCCATTTATTTACATGTAAGGTTACAATCTCCTATGCAGAGTTGTCGTTCGTTCCTCTCTCAGACACCTCTGCAATGGGCTCACGTCAAGATTTTTGACATAACGTATAAAACGTGATATTTGAAGGATTGTTTCAATTTAAATTAATAGTTCTGTATTGGTTTAGTAAATATCTATGTAACGTCGCCGTAGCGTTCAAAGAGAGATAACTCTAAATTTCCAAACCTCTGAATGTTCGTTTTAAAAGTTTATTTACACTATTTACACATCATAATAAAATCACAATAACATCCAATAATCACACGCATATAATCCCAGTATTAAAACAATAATATAATCCAATGTTCACATAAGTACAGATTCTGAGCAAGTGTTTTCGTCTGAGAACATCCCCCCTATATATATCTTTAGGCCATTGCTCGCGAGGAGCAATGCGTTTTTGGTCATTATATAATAGCTGACCATTGCTCGCGAGGAGCAATGGTACGTAAACAAAGACTACAGGTATCTATAATTATATAATAACGGAATCAAATATAAACAAACATAATGAAATAATTAAAGATCGTTACAACTTCCCCCCACTTAAGTTTTTGACTCCGTTCAAAAGAACTGACTATTTACAACAAAGAAAATGTACAGAATCTTCAATCTACATAGTTAAACAAGATAATAAACACAAAAATAATCATGAAAAAATAATAATAACAATGACACAATGAAACATAGCGTAAAAAAAAACATTTCTCCTGTTTTGAAATAATATAAACATGACAAGTTATCATATTTAGATTAAATATTTTCACAATTATTTACAACTTATATATACATCCAAATCACAAATTTCCCTTTACAAGTCTCACATGTACATGCTGATCAGTGAAATGTTTGGGTACTTCACTTAAAATGTCTGAAGCTACTGATTCAAAGTCAATGTCTTCGGGGTTCACATCTTCAGAATACACAATCTGCGAGTCGCGTGTAATTTCCTCTGTCCCGCAAGGGTCCCGTCTCACGGTCCGGTTCATTACGAGGCAAATTGTAGTCTTCGTCACAGCGCGATTGTTGTTATCGTCTGTTTCGGTCGTTGTGGAATCGTTATCACGGTCAGAATTAGTGTCATCACACACAATCACTTGACGAGTATCCATGTTATCGTTCCCGTCCTCCGAGATAACGATCCTCTCGTCACTAATAGAGTCACTTTCTCCGAGTAATCCGTCGATAAAATCGAAGTCCATCGAGTTTACTGAGATTTCCTCAGCTCTAAATCGTCACTTTCGATTAACTGATTCAGGGGTTCACTTAGGCCCTCCTCATCACTGGAAAAGTCCTCGTAAAGGTGGCTAAGCACGTAGACGGGCTTCTGGGTTTCCTCATATCGCTCTCGTTCCACTTTTCTTCTTTTCTGGTCCATGTCTTTCTCGATATCGGAAGATTTATGCACTGTTGATAAATGTCTTTTTAAGTTGAATTTCCTTAGAAATAGTCTCTGACAAAACGAACACTTGAATGGTTCTACATGGTGTTGATGCTGTTCTCTCTGGTGTTGATTCAAATTACTTCGAGTACAAAAACAATGTCCACAAATCTCACAAATCATCTGGTCAGTTACTGTCTCTGAAACGAACTGGCCTTTTTATAACCCGTCCATGTCGGGTAGTCCTCGTTCTGACTTCTGATTGGTTGTCGGCGAGTGACTGATCATTTTGGTCAAGACCATGGCGCGTGTCTGCCGGCAACTTCAAACTTCTCCCTCTCGCTGTCGCGCGTCGCTCGGGTACACGGGCGTTGACTGTCTGGTCACTTGTATATTCCGTCGGGGTTATGGCAGAATGTTTATTCCCTCGGTACGGTTTTAAGTTGTCTGTATGAACAATTACGGGTTTTGAAGTTTTTGAATGTCGGATCTGGTACAGCACATCACTTAATCGCTTCACCACATACCAAGGACCAGTCCAATTGCGTGCTAATTTTGATTTTGTTCCCTTTATTATTTGTCGTTGATTTCTTCTTACTAGATCTCCAATATCGTAGTTTACCTCTCGCACTTTTCGATCATAATTACGTTTTTGACGACACACGTCTTTACCTGTCACATCTCTCACAATGTCGTATAATTCACTAAGGGAATTTTCCAGGTTACGCACATATTCTGAAGGTGTAGAAACACGGTCTTCTTCACAATTAACATTTTCTGTCACTAATTCAACAGGTCATCTCATTTCTTCTCCAAACACCATTCTGTACGGCGTAATCCCGGTCGTATCATGTATTGTGCTGTTATATGCGAATACAACTCCGTCTAAGAATTTATCCCAGTCATTTTGATGTACAGAAATATACTTCGATAGCACATCTTTCACAGTTCTGTTTAAACGTTCAATCATCCCATCTGATTGGGGATGATAAGCGGTAGTGCGCGTTTTGTTTATCTGCAACATTTTACACAGTTCCTGGAATAACTGGCTTTCAAACTGTACACCTTGGTCCGAATGTAATTCCTGGGGACAACCATATCTTTTGATCCAGCCACGGAATATGATATTTGCTACTGTCTCAGCCTCAATATCACGAAGAGGAAATATTTCCGTAAATTTAGTGAAATAGTCCGCAATCACTAGAATATACACAAATCCGTTGTTTGTTTTCGGGAATGGGCCAGCTATATCTACCGCTATTCGCTCGCATTTCACTCCACTTAGATAGGTTTTCATGTATGCGCGTTTCTTGTTACTTGGATGTTTTCGCTCCTCACAGATATCACATGAAGTCACATAATCATGTACTCTTTTCCTGAGATGAGGCCAATAGTACTGGCTTTTGTTTATCTTGTCCAGTGTTCTTCTGACGCCCATGTGTCCTGCTGTTTCTGAATCATGGAAATTCCACATAACATTGTCCCTTAGAATTTTTGGCACCCAAATCCGGAATCGCTCACAATCACTGTCAATCCATCGAATACACAATACACCTTGTTTCACAGAAAGTAATTCCCAACGAGCATATAGAAACTTACTTTCAAATCCTAATGGGGAAATCGAACTAATCGATGGCTTCTCAAATTCGGAATCTTCTTTCCATTTCAGAAATCTACACATATCCTTATCGGTCAACTGTGCCTCCCTAATATTTTCCAAAGTTAATGAATCCTCTGGCTGTTTCTTTTGTCTTGCTCGTGATGGTCGGTTAGCTAGTACATAAACACTACTACAATTCACAGGTAGTACTTCATCGTCGTCGTCGTCAAATAATCCAATAAGTGAATACACATTATTGCTCACATTTACGGGTACAGTTCTTAGTTGTTCTACGTGGTTATATATTGGTCCTGAATATTCCTCTGTAACATCTAGTTTACATTGTTTGCACGTAACTCCTAATACATTAATTCTGCTCAGGCTATCGGCATTTCCGTGTCGCTTTCCTGATCGGTGCTGTATCTTAAACGTAAATGCAGCTAACTGCTGTAACCATCTCGCGATCTGTCCATCCGGGTCTTTAAATTTGTGTAGCCACACTAAAGATCCATGATCTGTCCTTAACGTGAATTCACGACCAAGTAAATATTGTTTGAAATGTTTTACGAAAAACACGAGTGCTAACATTTCCTTGCGGGTTACACAGTAATTCCTTTCTGCTGCTGCTTTCAATGTTCGGCTACCATAAGCAATCACTTTTTCATTTCCATCTTGAATTTGAGATAGTACGGCTCCTATGGCATCGCTACTAGCGTCCGTATCCAGAATAAATGTTCCTCCATTGACGTCTGGATAGCTAAGAACAGGCGCACTCACGAGCTTATTTTTGAACAAACAGAAAGCTTCATCACATTCTTCAGTCCACGACCACATCTTATTTTTGCTGGTAAGTTCATGTAGGCATCTCGCAATCTTTGCAAAGTCCTTAATAAATCGTCGATAGTAAGATACAAGGCCTAGGAAACTTCTGAGTTCACTGACATTTGTTGGCGTTTTCCAGTTCTTAACTGTATCAGTTTTACTGGGATCCGTTTTCACTCCGTTTTCTGAAATAACATGGCCTAAGAATGTCACTTCTTTTCTAAAGAATTTGCATTTCTTTGCCTTCAATTTCAAGTTAGCTGAATTCAAGCGATCAAACATTGAATTAAGATTTCTCAGGTGCTCATCGAATGTACGACTATATACAATGATATCGTCCAGGTAGAGAACGGTAATATGCCATCGTAATCCACTAAGTGCTTGCTCAATGACTCTCTGAAAAGTGGCGGGGGCATTACACAAACCGAAAGGCATGACGTTGTATTGGTATAATCCGCCTCGAGGTGTTCCAAATGCAGTTTTCTCCTTATCACACTCACGCATTGGAATCTGATGATAGGCCATATTTAAGTCTAATGATGTAAACCATTTCGATCTAGATAAAGCGTCTAAATCGTCAGCAATTCTGGGGGTCGGATATGCGTCCTTAATTGTCTGGGCATTTAACCTTCGATAGTCAACACAAAGTCTCCAAGTTTTATCCTTCTTCTGATCTAAAACTAAAGGTGACGACCATGGACTTGTTGATTTCTCTATTAATCCTTGATCCCTTAACTTTTCAATTTCCGCATCTAATATGTCTCTTTTAAATATGGGAACTCTCCTCACTGGTTCTTTAAATGGGGTCTCGTCATTCAAATCAATGCGATGTTCACCTAAACTCGCACGCTGTGCCAGCAGATTGGGGCCTGCAAATGCGTTTTGGTGATTTAATAAAAATGTCTTGAATTCACTTGCTTGTTCCGGAGACAGGTTTTCGCATCCTTCGCGAAACATATTACACAAAAACTCGGGAAGTTCAGCTGATCCATTTCCCACTGTTACATGACACACTTCAACATCATTGCTTTTTAAGGAGTCCAACACATCCCTAACTGGTGTTAATAATGCAATCTCTGTGTTCTTCTTAACACAAACTTAGCTGTCGCCTGGGTTAAACACACGCGCATAAATAACTCCATCTTCGGAATTCACTAACACATGCGCAATTGCGAGTCCATGGGTGTGGACAAACAATTTAAGAGGCACTAATATCCCTTCTTTGGATTTTGTACCGGAAATCACTCTTGATTTCATCACGGCTTCATACTTCGGGGGAATCACTTCATCCTCCATTGAAACCACCAGGCAGCCTTGATTTTCATCACTTCTGTGCGCACAATTTATCATCATATGATTATTTCGATAGTCCCACTGACACTCAAACTTGGTCATAAAGTCCTGTACTTTTGACTCCTCCCACAAATACACGAAAATATACACTTATTGGTCCCATAGTTAACAACATATTTGCAGTTCCAATAATTTTAAGAGTAGTTCCATCAGCTGTCTCAAACTTTTTCCGTGCAGGCTCTAGTACAGGTCTCTCTTGAGGAAGTATACTGTAGTACATGTCCTCTGTAATGAAAGTATTACTGTATAGGGGATTGATTTCACGGGTTGTAATTTTCACGTTTTTCTGTTCTCTGACACTGTCGCGGTTTCTTGAATTCGCGGAATTGGTATATTATACAAGCTTCCTCCCTTATATATACCAATTGAAAACTTATTCACTGTTTCTTGAATTCACGGTTTCATCAACACCGTGAATATAGCGAATATTAACACCGCGAGTTAATTTCCCCCTATACAGTAATCGCACCTGTGTCAATTTTCCACTCTAATGGCGTACCTTGCACTAACCCTTTTACAATCATCCCGGGTTTGCCCTCAACAATGACACTAGGCATTGCCGCCCCTGAGTTGAAATCTATGTGCGCTTCATGTAATTTATTTTCCGTCTTAGAAAAATCAATGTGATGTTTCACATCTACTGTACTAGGCCTCTCTTGTGCTCCCTTGACCGACGCATGGCCTACTGTCTCGGTCGGTTCCGGTTTAACTGCGGATTGACATTTTGTTGGTTCTCACGAGTTCCGGTCCAGCCACTCTGTTTGGATCTATTGTCACGGTCTCCCTTTGGGCAATCTCGTATTAAATGCTGCGTGGAGTTGCATTTAAAACATTTCTTGATACCCTTGTTCAAATTAGCTGTTGATTTATCTTCCCATTTTCGCTTGTCTCCCTGAGCATTTCTAACATCATAAACTTGGGGTGGATATGTCTTTGGGTTTAACTTCCTGTTTTCTGTACAACGAATACAATCTTCCTGCATGGCTGCTGTGACTGCCTCGGCAAGAGTTTTAGGTCGGGTTCGTTTAACAGCAAGTCTAAAATCA